GAATACCCTTTATTTCTTTCTCCTGCCTGATTGCCCTGGCCAGAATTTCCAACACTATGTTGAATAGGAATGGTGAGAGAGGGCATCTCTGTCTTGTGCCAGTTTTCAAAGGGAATGCTTCGAGTTTTTGCCCATTCAGTATGATATTGGCTATGGGTTTGTCATAAATAACTCTTATTATTTCGGCTCAAGTGTCCCAGATCGATCTCAGACTGCTGTGCTGGCAGCAAGAATTTCAAGCCTATGGATCTTAGCTTGCAGGGCTCTTTGGGAGTGGGACCCGCCAAGCCAGACCACCTGGCTCCCTGGCTTCAGCCCGCTTTCCAGAGGAGTGAGCTGTTCTCTCTCACTGGTGTTCCAGGCACCACTGGAGTATGAAGAAAAAAAAAAAAACTGCAGCTAGCTCAGTGTCTGCCCAAACGGCCAGCCAGATTTGTGCTGGAAACCCAAGGCCCTGGTGGCATAGGCACCGGAGGGAATCTCCTGGTCTGTGGGTTGTGAAGAGCGTGGGAAAAGCACGGTATCTGGGCTGCAGTGCATGGTACAGTTCCTAATGGCTTCCCTTGGCTAGGAGAGGGAGTTCCCCAACCCCCTGGGCTTCCCAGAAGAGGCAACGCCCTACCCTGCTTCAACTCACCCTCCTTGGCCTGCGCCTACTGTCCAACCAGTCCCAATGAGATGAACCAGGTACCTCAGTTGGAAATGCGGAAATAACCCGCCTTCTGCATTGATCTCACTGGGAGCTGTAGACCAGAGCTGTTCCTATTCGGCCATCTTGCCCAGGGCTCCCACATACCTTATTTTTCTGACTTTTTAATGATAGCCCTTCTGACTGGTGTGAGATCTTATATTCACAGTGGTTTTGATTTGCATTTCTGTTATGATTAGTGATGGTAAGCATTTTTTCATGTTGTCCACTTGCATGTTTTCTTTTGAGAAGTGTTTGTTCACGTGTTTTGACCATTTTTAAATGGGTTTATTTAGTTTTTGCCCATTCAGTTGTTTAAGTTCCCTATAGATCCTGGATATTAGACCTTTGTCAGATGCATAGTTTGCAAATATTCTTCTCATATTATATAGGTTGTCTATTTACTGTTGAGGGCTTAGTCATAAATTCTTTCCCAAGGCCCATGTCCAAAGTAGTGTTTCCTAGGTTTCTTCTAGGATTCTTATAGTTTGAGGTCTTATATTTAAATCATTAATCCATCTTTGATTTTTATATATGGTGAAAGGTAAGGGTCTAGTTTCATTCTTCTGCATATGGCTGGCCAGCTAACCCAACACCATTTATTGAATAGGGAGTCCTTTTCCCATTGCTTATTTTTGTTGACTTTGTCAAAGATCAAATGGCTGTAGGTGTTTGGCTTTATTTCTGGATTTGGTATTCTGTTTCATTGATCTATGTTTTTGTACCAATATAATGCTGTTTTGGTTACTGTAGCTTTGTAGTGTAGTTTGAAGTCAGGTAATGAGATGCCTCCAGCTTTTCTCTTTTTGCTTAGGATTGCTTTGGCTATTTAATAGCTCCTTTTGGTTCCATATGAATTTTAGAATGCTTTTTTTCTAGTTCTGTGGCAAATGATATTGGTAGTTTGATAGGAATAGTGTTCACCCTGTACATTGTTTGGGGCCGTATGACCATTGTAATGATATTGAGTATTCCTATCCATTATCATAAAATATGTTTCCATTTGTGTCATCTGTGATTTATTTCAGCAGTGTTTTACAGTTCTTCTTATAGCTGTCTTTCACCTCCCTGATTAGATGTATTCCTAGCTATTGTGTATATGTTTGTGTGGCTGTTGTAAGTGGAATTGAGTTCTTGATTCTGCTCTCAGCTTGAATGTTATTGCTATATAGAAATGCTACTGATTTTTGTATCCTGAAACTTACTGAAGTTGTTTATCAGTTCCAGGAGACTTTTAGCAGAGTCTAGGGTTTTCTAGGTATACAATCATATCATCAGCAAAGAGAAATAGTTTAGTTTCTTTTCCTATTTGAATGCCTTTTGTTTCTTTCTCTTGCCTGATTGCTCTGGCAAAATCTGCCAGTACTATGTCGAATAGGAGTGGTAAAAATGGGCATCTTTGTCTTGTGTCTGTTCTCAATGGAAATGCTTCCTATATTTGCCTGTTCATTATGATGTTGGTCATGGATTTGTCATAGATCGCTCTCATTATTTTGAGATAACTTCCTGTGATGCCTAGTATCTTGAGATATTTTATCAGGAAGGGATGTTGGATTTTATCAAAAGCCTTTTCTACATCTATTGAGATGATCATATTATTATTATTTTTTGAGACAGAGTCTCACTCTATCACCCAGGCTGGAGTGCAGTGATGCAATCTCGGTTCACTGCAACCTCCGCCTCTAGAGTTCAAATGATTTTCCTGCCTCAGCCTCCTGAGTAGCTGGGATTGCAGGTGTGTGCCACCACGCCCAGCTAATTTTTGTATTTTTAGTAGAGACAGGGTTTCACCATGTTGTCCAAGCTGGTTTCAGACTCCTGACCTCAGGTGATCCACCTGCCTCAGCTTCCCAAAGTGCTGGGATTACAGGCATGAGCCACTGCACCCGGCCAGATTTTTGTTTTTAATTCAATTCTGTTTATATGGTGAATCACATTTGTTGATTTGCATATGTTTAACCAACCTTGCATTCCAAGAATGAAGCCTACTTGATTATGGTGGATTAGATTTTTGATGTGCTGTTGGATTCAGTTTATTAGTATTTTGTTCAGGATTTTCGTGTCTATGTTCATAGGGATACTGGCCTTCAGTTTTGTTTTTTCATTGTGTCTGTGTCTTTGCCCAGTTTTGGGATCAGAATGATCATACAATGAGTTAGGGAGAAGTCCTTCCTTCTCAGTTTTTTTGAATAGTTTCAGTAGGATTGGTACCAGCTCTTCTTTGTATATCTCATAGAATTTGACTGTGAATTCTTATTGACTGAGCCTTTTTTTTTTTTTTTTTGGTTGTTAAGTTTTTTATTACTGATCCAATTTTGGAACTCAGTGTTGGTCTATTCAGGCTTTTGATTTCTTCTTGATTTAATCTTGGGAAGTTGTGTGTTTCTGGGAATTTATGCATGTCCTCTAGGTTTCTAGTTTTTGTGCATAGAGGTGTTCATGATAATCTCTGAGGATCTTTTGTATTTCTGTCGGTCATAATGTCACCTCTGTCCTTTCTGATTAGGCTTACTTGGATCTTTTCTTTGTTAATCTAGCTAGCCATCTATCAGTCTTGTTTATATTTTTAAAAGAACCAACTTTTGGTTTCATTGATTCTTTGTATGGATTTTGGGGTCTCAATTTCATTCAGTGCTGCTCTGACTTTAGTTATTTCTTTTCTTTGCTGGCTTTGGAATTAGTTTGTTCTTTTCCTATTTCCTCTATTGGTGATGTTAGATCATTAATTTAAGATCTATCTACCTTTTTGAGGTAGGTATTTACTGCTATAAACTTTCCTCTTAATGCTGCTTTTGCTGTATCCCAGAGATTTTGATATGTTGTTTCTGTTTTCATTAATTTCAAAGAATTTTTTTATTTCTACCTTAATTTCATTGTTTATCCAAAAGTGATTCAGGAGCAAGTTATTTATTTTCCATGTACTTATGTGGTTTTGAGCGTCTTCGTGATACTGATTTCTATTTTTATTCCACTATGGTCTGAGAGTATGGTTGCTATGATTTTGATTTTTTTTTTTAATTTGTTAAAACTTACTTTATGGCCAAGCATGTGGTCAGTCTTGGAGTCTGTTCTGTGTGCAGATGAGAGGAATGTATATTCTGTGGTTGATGGGTGGAATATTCTGTAGATGTCTATTAGGCCCAGTTGGTCAAGTGTTGAAGTTAAGTCTGGAATTTCTTTGTCATTTTCTGCCTCAGTGATCTCTCTAATGCTGTCAATGTGGTGTTGAAGTCCCCCACTACTATTGTGTGGCTAAGTCTTTTTGTAGGTCTAGAAGTACCTGTTTTATGAATCTGGTTGCTCTAATGTTGGCTGTGTATATATTTAGGGTAGTTAAGTCTTCTTGTTGAATTAACTCTTTATCATATGTAATGCCCTTCTTTGTCATTTTTTTACTCTTGTTGGTTGAAAGTCTGTTTTATCTGATATATGAATAGCAACCCCTACCCATTTTTTGTTTTCTATTTGCATGGTAAATCTTTTTCCAACCCTTTACTTTGAGCCTATGGATGTCATTAATGTGTGAGAATGGTCACTTGAAGGTAGCAAGTGGATGGCTCTTATCGAACTTGCCACCTTGTGCCTTTTAAGTGAGGTGTTCAGACCATTTACATTCAAGGTTAATATTGATGTGCAAGGTTTTGATCCTATCATGAGATTGTTAGCAGTTGTTTTGTAATTTCTGTGGTGTGGTTGCTTTATAGGATCTATAGGCTATGTTCTTAAAAGTGTGTTTCTGTGATAGCAGATATCATTCTATCATTTCCGTGTTTTGAACTCCTTTAAGAATCTTTTGTACAGCTGATCTGGTGGTAACATATTCCCTTAGCTCTTGCTTATCTAGAAAATATTTTCTTTCTCCTTTGCTTATGAAGCTTAATTTGGAGGGATATGACATTCTTGGTTGGAATTTCTTGTCTTTAAGAATGCTGAAAAAAGACTTCCAATCTCCCCTGGCATGTAAGGTTTCTGCTGAGAAGTTCATTGTTAGCCTGATGCATTCCCTTTGTACACAATCCGACCTTTTTCTCTAGCTGCCTTTAAGATGTTTTCTGCTGGGCGTGGTGGCTCACACCTGTAATCCCAGCACTTTGGGAAGCCAAGGTCAGCAGATCACTTGAGGTCAGGAGTTCAAGACCAACCTGGCCAACATGGCAAAACCCGGTCTCTACTAAAAATATAAAAATTAGCTGACCATGGTGGTGTGTGCCTGTAGTCGCAGCTACTCAGGAAGCTGAGTTATGAGAATTGTTTGAGCCCCGGAGGAGGAGTCTACAATGAGCCAAGATAATGCCATTGCACTCCAGCCTGGGTGACAGTGAGACTCCATCTTGGAAAAAAAAAAGTATTTTATTTAGCATTGACCTTGGACAGTCTGGTGACTGTATGCCTTGGTGATGCTCATTTTGTATAGTATCTTGCAGGTGTTCTCTGAATTTCTTGTATCTGGATGTCTACCTCTAGCAAGATTAAGGAAACTTTCTTGAATTATTCCCTCAAATATGTTTTTCCTTCTTAGGAATGCCAGTAATTCATAGGTTTGGTTGTTTTACATAATCCCATATTTCTCAAAGCCTTTGTTCACCTTTAAAAATTATTTTTTCCTTATTTTTATGTAACTGAGTGAGCTCAAAAGATCAGTCTTCAAGCTCTGAAATTCTTTCTTCTGCTCAGTCCAGTCTATTGATAAAGCTTTCAATTGTATTTTGAAATTCCCTGAGTGAGTTTTTCAACTCCAGAAGTTCTGATTGATTTCTTTTTACCATATTTATCTCTTCCTTCATTTCCTGGATTGCTTTAGAAGTTTTGTGTTGTTGATTTTTAACCTTGACTTGGGTCTCATTGATCTTCCTTGTAATCCATGCTTTGAATTATGTAACTGTTCTTTCTGAGTTTCTATTTTGGGTATAGACCATTGCTAGAGAGCAAGTTTGATCCTTTGGTGGTGTCATTATATTCAGATTTTTTGTGGTGCCAGAATTCTCGCACTGATTCCTTCTCATCTGGAGATGCTGGCATTTTAATTTTATAGTGATTTTCATGTGGGTAGGATTATTTATTTTTCCTTCTTTCCCTATAATATTGTTGGTTTTTTTTTTTTTTTTCTTTCCCTTTCCCTTTTCCCCCCTCTCTAAGGAGTGTGACTATTAAGAATGCTGGGTAGGGTCTTTTGGCTTTGCTTCTACAACCCTTTTCACTTCTGTCAACAGGTTTTGGGCTGTGCAGTTCAACCTACAAGTCAGTAGATGGTGCTTATAGGTAAGAGCCTGCTCTGGCCAATGTGACTGGGTGTATACTTGATCCTTGTTTATGGGGAAAAGCTCTGTTACCTCAGGCAATGAGCTAATTCATGAGGTCCATAGTGGTCTGAGCTCCCTGCTCAGACACAGGGAGGTAGGGGCCAAAATGGGCAGAGCTGGACTGGGCAGGTCCAAATACAGGTCCCCTAATGACAGGTACAAGCACCAGCACCAAGGGGGAATGCAGTGGGTAGCCACACTAAGCACCTAGAGATGCTTGGGAAATTTCCTTGACCCCAAGTTCCCTGCTCAGGAATGGGGGCGGCCTAGACTAATCCAGTAGAGTCACTGATCCAGATGCCTGAAGATCTGTCTAGGCATGGAGCCCCGCTACACCAGGATCTATGCACAGGAAGGGTGGGGTGCTCAGGCTGCTGTTCCAGGCGAGCGAGTGCTCTGAATGCCTGGAGATCTGCCTGAGCATGGAGGAGAGAGGGCCCCCTGTACCAAGACCTCTGCACAGGAGGGTTTGGGTGACTCAGACTGCTGATCGAGGCAAATGGGTGCTCTGAATGCCTGATGATCTGCCTGGTCATGGAGCAGAGAGGGCCTTGCTGCACCATCATCTATGTCTTGGAATGGGAGGGGCAGCAGCTCAGGCTGCTGAACCAGATGAGCAAGTGCACCTAATGCCTGGAGATCTGCTGGGGTGCAAAACGGAGAGTGCCTCCCCACACCCAGATCTCTGCACAGGAAGGGTAGGGCACTCAGGCTGCTAGTCCATGTGAGCAGGTGCTCCAAATGCCTAGAGATGTGCCTAGAGGTGGAGTGGAGAGGGCACCCTTGCACCACAATCTATACACAGGAAAGGTAGGACAACTCAGGCTGCTGATCCAAGGAAGGGGGTGCTCCAGACACCTGGAGATCTGCCTGGGTGTGGAGCAGAGAGAGCCATGCTGTACCACAATCTATGTCCATGAAGGGTGGGGCAGCTCAGGCTGCTGGTCCCAACAAGCAAGTGCTCCAAATGCCTGGATTTCTGCCTGAGGGTGGAGCAGAGAGGGCTCTGCTGCACCACAATCTCAGGGGAGCTGGCTGGGTCACCCTGCAGTGACATATGCAGACTAGTTCCAGGTCACTAAGCTAGCCCTGGCTGCAAGTCTCATCACACAGGAGAAACTGCAGCTGTAGCAGCTCTCCTCCCACCTCAGGCCTGCAAAGGGGTAGCGCACAATCCCAGCACCTACCGCTGAGGCTCTTTGCACAGTTCTGGCTGTGGAGACCCCTACCCTAAGCCAGAGCAGGTGCTCCAATTGCTGAGCCAAGACTAAAATGCCTGTGTGGCCACACTGCTAGGTCACCAGAGAATGACTGACTGTCCACGCCTGGATTAAAAATGGCACCCTGCCTTCAGTCCCGAGTCTGGGAAAATGTTTGCAGCTTTTCTCTGTCTTTTCCTCACAATGTTTCCAAGCTGCTTCCCCAAGTTAGCTCCAGCGCTTGTGAGAAACAAAGTGCTCTCTCTCAGCCTGGGTTGCTTGGATCCCAGGTGGAAAGGTGAGCCATAGAGGGAGGCTCTCTGCCTCTCCCATGTACTGGGGCTTCACTCATTTTTATCAGCTGCATGCCATCACTGGAGCTGTTTATCCACATTCTCCTCCCTGGCATCTGGGGTGTCCTTCACAATTCTAGTGGATTCCCATTTTCCTTTTTGGATAAAAACCCACAGAGATGATCTTTACACACTATCTTGCTATTTCCAAGGGGCCAAGGCACACTAAAAGACTCTAATCTGCCATCTTGGAAATAAAACAGAAACTATTTTTTTTTTAACTCAGTATCCATTTAGAATTATGACCATCTTGTGAGAAATGAAGTTTGAGACTCTACTTTGATATGAAATTTAGTGCTATCATCTTTAATTGTGTTTTCTTTCACAAATGACTACTAGTGGATGTGTTTAAGTCCAAAATCCTTCTGATGAGGGTTAAGGTTTGGGGCTTTGAGCATCCTGTTGACTTCCATTGCTAGTTTCACTATATTAAATTTGAGTTATGTTAATGGTAAGTTTTATTTTTCTGTTTTTCATTAGTTTTTATGAGTTAAGGACCAAAATGCCACGAAATTTTCAAATGAGCAAATGTTACTGTGCAAATTCGGAAAAGATGCCAAAATACAACTGTTGGCTGGCAGGTAATGTTGCCAGCAATAGCATGAAGTATTTTGTTCCTTAGTTTAAGAAGTTATGAAGAAAGCAGACCTAAGGTGTTATGAGATGATGAAAAATACAGAAAACCCAAATATATAAAAATCAAAGTATTGTTTCACAAAATTGATTGTCTTGCCTTCTCAGCAAAATCACTTCAGTTATTCAAAAGCAAGATTTTCACATCACATTCAAATATTATCATGGGCCAGAAAATGCTATGGAGTATTTTAATTTCATATAATTCACTACCACTTCTATGGCTGTTTTTACTGCCTCTCAAACAATCTCTAGACCTATCCAGTAATATGAAGAGTTGGTATCACGCCTCATGTTCCATCTAGATCTACATATATATAAATTTAAGGGTAGTCAGGATTCATATTGCACAATGTTCTTCAACCACCATATGTAGCTCTTGCAAATACCATTCCTGTATACGAATACCTGTGGAATTACAAATTAAGGCATTAAAAGAAGTAAAAAATGGGTGCTCAGCACCACTGGAGAATATATTTCATTATGCACAAATCTTGCATTCATGCTGAGAGGTTTTGACAAGTTACCTTTCCTCTTACCTTACTGCTGCTGCCCTAGTCTTTACTGCACTCCAAAGCAGTGTCTGTGTCTGATCTCAGCAGCAGCATGACCCACAAACCTTTATAGCATTTGGGCACAGTCCTCTTTTTTTTGAAGATAAAGGGTAAAAGATGTGGTAAAGCATTCCCTGAGACCTGAATGTGGTTAATGATGAGAGTGAGTCTTTAGGGTTATGGTTCCTGCTGTTTCAGAGCTGAGCTCCAGATCAAGGACCCACGTGTTTTGCTTTTTTGTTGTTGTTGTGGTTGTTTTCTTCTTCTTCATCTTCTGAGATAGAGTCTCGCTCTGTCATCGAGGCTTGAATGCAGTGGCATGATCTTGGCTCACGGCAACCTCTGCCTCCTGAGTCCGAGCAATTCTCCCACCTCAACCTCCCGAGTAGCTGGCACTACAGGCGCACACCACCACACCCAGCTAATTTTTGTATTTTCAGTAGAGACGGGGTTTCACCATGTTGGCCAGGTTGTTCTTAAACTCCTGACCTCAGTCGATCCACCCACCTTGGCCTCTTAAAGTGCTGGAATTACAGGTGTGAGCCACTGCACCCAGCCCGGGCCCACATGTTCTTGAACAAATGTAGGTTTCTGTGTGTGCCTGTCCTATGCAGAGTCCTCTGAAGCCCAGGGCTCAGAACAGTGGCCCCTCTTTCTAGGTGCAAGGGTAGCACTGCAGGCTTTCACAGGATTCCTGTGGCTACCTGGTTGGGGCTGTTCAGGATGATCCATGGGAGTTAGCATAACACCACTCTAAAGTCAGATGTTGAAAGACAAGGATCAAAGAGAGTTGAGCAAGTGAGCAAGTTAGAGATAATTACAAGCTTCTTAAGAGAACACTGTCTTTTCCACACTGGGAGTATTCTCATAGAGCCACACATAGCACTCCACAGATGGAAAGCCTCCGAATGCTCCCAGCTGACCATATTTGCCACTTCATGAATACTGCAACATCACACAAGAGGATGTCTATTTCCCCAAGCCCTGTGCAGACCAATTTTGATAATGTAACTGTCTGAATTAAGCTGCAGTTTCTCTCATTCATTTATTCAACTTATACTTTGTTTTACTATTGGTATTCTGGCCTCCTCCACCTCTTTTCCAAATAGTAAGACACTTTGCTTTAGGGGAAGATACTGAGGATGCCAGTGCTTTGCCAATTTCATCAAAGAGAAGACCACTTAACACTTAACCCCTAAACGCGTTCATTTCCTTCTGCTCTGCTGTTTTGGACTCGGCAAAGCTTTACTCATGTCCGAAAAGATGAAAGGGGAGTGGGGAGACCCAAAGCAGTAGTAATTAGTGCTGAGCCTTCACCAAGTCGAGTGGCTGGGGTTTTCCTTCAGCACTTGCTTCCTTTGTATCTCTGTTTCTAGCCACGCTTCAGTCAAGACCCAAATCCTGCTGCTTTTTTTTTAATCATAAGAAAGGATTTAAATATAAAATTTTATACACTAAACACACTCAAAGTAAATATTCAATCTCTGGATGGAGACAGATTGTCTAGATGACTAATAGAGTCTATCAACTGTTCTCTAAGTTCTTTCCCTCCTTTTAATCTTTGAAAGTCTCTCTTCATCTAGCCTGTTCCTGGTGCTCGGAGTTGAAGCAGCCGTAGTGCAACCAAGAGGCTTCCCTCCATCAACACACTGAGGCTGCCATAACAGAGAGATGGAAAGAGCCCAGTTCTCCAAGGATATTGCTGAATCTTTGCACCAACTCTGATACTTCCAGACTGTATTTCATGAGGTTAATAAACCTCTTTGATGTAAGTCACTTGCAATCAAGGCAACAGGTCTATGCATTTTAACTACACATGGCCCACACTTTGAAAAATCCTGTCGTAAATACTGGTGTCCTCGGAGCTCTGTTCTAGACCCTCTTCTCTCCTTACACAATACTCTCTATATATGTGATCTCACTCACTCCCTTGGCTTGGAATATTATCCACTCTGAAGACCCCTAAATCTGCTTCTAGGCCAGAATCTTCTGAACTTCTTAAATATATAAGAAACTTTAACAGACATCACCACTTGTCTATTAGTCTCCCTGCACTTTAACATATCCAAAACTGAACTACTAATCTGCTCCCCAGAACCCGTTTATCCCCCAGACTTTCCTGTCTCAATGGCAACACGCTCAACTCAGTTGCTCGAGCTAGAGAGCCAGGAATCATCATCACCTTCTCCTTTTCCCTCACCCCAGCATCCAGTCAATCACCAAGTCCTATCACGTCTTCTCTCCATCCCCACTGCTGCTCCTTGGTCAGGGCCATCGTTAGGTCCCATGAGGACCACTGCCACAGACTTACCTGGTTTCCCGGGCCCTTCCAATTGCTTCCCTATATTGCAGTCAGAATGATCTTTCTGATATGTCGATCTAGTCAGATCTCTTCTCTGTTTAACACTGCTACCTGACTCACTGGACTGGAAGATAACTCCTGCTATGAACTCCCACTGCTTCTGGCGAGTCCCTTAGTATGAGTCATTGTGGCTGCATGGTGGCTCACACCTGTAATCCCAGCACTTTGGGAGGCTGAAGCAGGAGGATCGCTTGAGCTCAGGAGTACAAGACCAGCCTGGGTGACATAGCAAGGCCTCATATATACTAAAAGTCAAAAAAATTAGCTGGGAATGGTGCTGCATACCTGTAGTCCCATCTACTCGGGAGTCTGAGGCAGAAGGATCACTTGAGTCCAGGAGGTTGAGGCTGCAGTGAGCTATGATCATGCCACCGCACTGCAGCCTGGGTAACAGAGTGAGACACTGTCTCAAAGGAAAAAAACTAATTATGCTTTTATTGAGCTTTTTTATTGTCTGTTTTCTCATTGATCTCTAAATTGTATTGAGTATAGGAACTGAAGTATATCCCCACACCTAGCAACAGTGCCTGGCACATGGTAGACAACAAATGTGACATTGAGTGAATAGATTAATTTAGAAGAACATTTTGTAAGCTGGGGGTTGTGACCCACCAGGACCATGAACTCAGTCTAGTGGATTATAATCAGCTTTAATTTAAAGAAGAAAAAGAAATAGACAAGAATAGCAAATAATAAGAGTATTATTTCATGAAATTTTTTATTCTGAAATTTGTAAAATATATTTCTTATAATGAGTGGCAGTAAAACTAAAATGAAAGCCACTGGGTTATAATAAGCAAGTACTTTTTTCTATAGTAAGAAAAAGCAGCTTTATTTAAAAAAAAAAAAAAAAATCTGAAAACCTTGTGACTGAAAAAGACTCCTGCCTTGGGGGATTTTTACTTTCACAGATTTCAAAGCCTTAAACTCAAGGGAAAAAAGTGTCTAGAGTTTTAGGTTTCTGTGAGTAGATGACAGAGGAATTAAAAATCCGTCACAGATCCTGCCTGGTAACTATTGCCACAGACCAATGAAGCCTAAAAGTGCTGTTGAATTCTATTTCCTCTGAAGATATATCTTAAGCTTTTTTGTCCCATGGCTGATGACGAAAGTGGAAATCCAGGGTTAAAAGTATGAACTCTTTGCTGTTGAGGGTGGTCACTGATGTAGGTATTGGAGAATTTAATTGGCTGTTTCTCCCAACCTTCTCTCTTGAAGAAAAGAGCCCTGAGCCAATGAGGAGCTATTGTTCTGTGTCCATAGCAACAATATAAACAAACTTTGGCCTGCCATCTCCCAAGGGCAAACCTCACAACTCAGGCCCAAGTCGCGGGAATCTGAATGGAGGGGTGACCTTCTCCTCTAGTTTAATTTCATTGCAATACTGAGAAACGTGAACTGTTTTGTCTTTAGAAGGGAAATTCATGTTTGTGCCAGGCCAGCCTTTGTAAAAGCCTTTGATTGGATTCACTAGAAGTCTGTCTTCCCACACTACATATACTGTGAATTTTCTGCTTCAGCATTTCAACCACTTGGAATGGCCACTAAAGTCTTGAGTTCTGGAACCTCTGGATTTGATCTAAAGTAAACTCTGATTCTGTGTTGATGGGGAACCATTTCTCTCTAACTTTGTGATTTCTTTAAGATGCTTGACTCGGGCCACATGAGAATAACAGATCTTTGGGCAGTCCAAGGTAAGCTCTTTGAAAAAGATGTTTTATATTATTTTTTCTACTGATTATTAATACTAACCAGTAACTTCTCTGAAGCCTCTGCCGGCTCACTGGTGACAATTGTTAGGGCGAGCCTCAGGTAAAATCATCAGGGAGAAGTGCAAGAAAGGAAAAAAAGAGGGAGAAAGAATCCTTACACACACTCACACACCCCTCGATGATTAGAGCTATTCGATGTCAAGCCACTGTAAACGCAGATCTATCCGTGATGACGTGGAAATATCTACTAGATATCCTGTTACATAAAAAGAACAAGAGGCAACATCATGTGCAAAGTATGCTCTCATGTATGCAAATCATTTTTTAAAAATCTATTATGCTTCTCTACAGGTTAAGTTCTATATGCAAGACATTTAAGATTATATGCATTTCTGGAAGGATGCCCCCAAAATCTGTTAGAAGTGGTTCCCACTTAAGAAGCTATAAGAAGTCAAGGACTGATTTTAGCTACTGAAATATTAAAATACTGCCATATAGGCCGGGAACGGTGGCTCACACCTGTAATCCCAGCACTTTGGGAGGCCGAGGTGGGTGGATCACCTGAAGTCAGGAGTTTGAGACCAGCCTGGCCAATATGGTGAAACCCCATCTTTACAAAAATACAAAAATTAGCCAGGCGTGGTGGCGGGTGCCTGTAATCCCAGCTACTGGGGAAGCTGAGGTAGGAGAATCGCTTGAACCTCAGAGGTAGAGGTTGCAGTGAGCCGAGAACCTGCCATTGCACTCCAGTCTAGGCAACAAGAGCAAAACTCTGTCTCAAAATAATAATAATAATAATAATAAATAAAATACTGCCATATTGATTGGTAGATGACCATTGTCCAAGCCCCTTGCATGTCCTCCTTGCTACCTTGGTTGTCCCAACTCCTCCCTGGCACCCCAGACCACCTCATGATTGAGCAGCTAAGGACTTAATGCATGGCACGGAGGTGGGAGTGAGATCCCCCAGGACCCTGTTCCAACCCTGGTTGATTATTCAATAGCCTTGTCGTACTGGTTGTTAAATATTTTGAGTATCACTTCTATGGGTGTTCAAAGAGAAAGGCCTTTATTTTTATTTTATTTATTTATTTTTTTAGAGACAAGGTCTTGTGCTGTCACCCAGGCTGAAACGCAGTGGTGTGATCATAGCTCACTGCAACCTCAAACTCCTGACCTTAAGTGATCCTCCCATGCCATCTGCCAAGTAGCTGGGACTACAGGCACACTCCACCACACTAAGCTATTTTTAAAATTTTTTGTAGATACAGAGTCTCAATATGTTGCACAGGCAGGTCTCAAGCTCCTAACCTCAAGCAACTCTCGCACCTCAGTCTCCCAAAGTGTTGGGATTACAGACATATGCCACCACACCTATGAGGCCATTTTTTTTTTCTTAAGAGCAAAAGAATAGATACCAAGACATCATTTATCATGGGGAAGAAGAAAAGGAAACAACCACACGTTCATCAAAGATCATTGAAAATCTATGTAAAACTCCACTGAGTGATTGTATCACCCATACAATTTACCTCTGCTTTCTCGCTTTTGAATGCAAACGTTTAATATTATTTATAATATGGTAACAATGATTACAACATTTTGGCAGTTTCATCTGTGAATCTCTTTTCTCTTTGTTTTTGTTTTTTGTTCTATTTATTTATTTATTGAGACAAAGTCTTGTTCTGTCACCCAGGCTGGAATGCAGTGGCAAGATCTCGGCTCACTGCAACCTCCACCTCATGGGTTCAAGTGATTCTCCTGCCTCAGCCTCCCGAGTAGCTGGGATTACAGGCGTATGCCACCACACCGGGCTAATTTTTGTGTTTTTAGTAGAGACAGGGTTTCGCCATGTTGGCTAGGCTGGTCTTGAACTCCTGACCTCAAGTGATCCACTTGCCTCGGCCTCCCAAAGTGCTGGAATTACAGGCATGAGCCACCGCACTGTCTTTTTCCTCTTTGTTGAGCTGGCTCCAACCACCGTGATGAGCTGATTACAACCATCAAGTTTACTAGTCAGCTAAGAAATATGCATCAAATGCCCATTGTGGACAAGCCACTTTGCAAGGCTTAGTGGAGGTGTTGAGGCACAAAGAGCTCTCCATAGTGGAGTCCTGGCCTTCAAGAAGAGAGAAGGCAGTTGCTAGAAGTGGGCCTGCCTTAACCTCTCACTTCCTGCCCCATGGACTCCTGCTAAATCTCCTAAGTTCAGAGTTCTCCCCTTTCCTACAGGAAGCATATAGAAGGTTCGAAGCAGAAGCAGAGCTTCTTTTTTGCTACTGTGGCAGCCTCCTTTCAGACTCTCAACTGAATTCTAGCCCCTTGTAGCATCATCTTCCCACCTGGGCACTCAATCCCATCTGCTTCTCTGACCTCATCTCCTTGACTTGTCCCTGACAGGCCCCCAAACACAGTGGAGTGTGGACAGTTATAAACGGCGGCCCTGTCACCTGCTCTTTAGGCCTTCGCTGTTCAGCCAGTCTCCTGGACTCCTTTCTAGCCCTGACATCTATTGCAGAAGATCCCCTAGTCCCAGGCCTCTGACCCAGCCAATCCCTGCACACTCTGCCTTTATTCCAAGACCAGGTCTGTTGCCTTCACCCCACTGCTCACTTAGCTGTCTTTCTGCCGACTCCTCTACTGACTGCAAGCTCCCTGAGGGCAAAATCCAGCCAGCATCTAGCACAGTACTCACAGCACGAGGCTCTAAAGATTTGTGCTGTTAAAGGAGCAGTTACGAGTGGGTGAGTAGTCACTTCACTTCTTTGAGTTTTAGTATCTTCATATGGAAAACAGATTCAACCTTAAGGTCCTCTCTAGCTCTTAAGGTCATTAGACACCATCAGTGGATTTCTCAAGCATCAGTCATGTTGGAGAAAAAGGTTGATTTCATTTTTTCGACTGGTTCTTAAGCAAATGTATTCCAGTATAATATTGAAAACTAATCATAGACTTAGAAATTTGAGTTAAATCTGTTATCATTTTAATGCTTCTGTTGGGCTATTGATTCTTATAACATTTTTGGCATTTGTTTTTATTACTAATGAAATATCCACTGACATGGCCTGGCACAGTGGCTCATGCCTGTAATCCCAGCACTTGGGAGGCCGATGCAGGAGGATCACTTGAGGCCAGGAGTTCGAGATCAGCCTGGAATACATGGCAAAACCCAGTCTCTACTAAAAATACAAAAATTGGCCAGGCATACTGGTGGGCACTTGTAGGAGGCTGGAGGCCTCCACCTACAGGAGGTTGAGGCAGGAGAATCACTTGAACCCAGGAAGCAGAGGTTGTAGTGAGCCAAGATTGTACCACTGCACTCCAGCCTGGGTGACAGAGCGAGACTCTGAAAAGAAAAAAGAAAAGAAGAAAAGAAAAGAGAAAAGAAATATCCACTGACATCATTTAAAAATAAAATAATGTTAAAAATTCATTAAGGAAAAGTCTCAATTTCTGCCCCACCCCCAACCTGTCAGTTCTAATTCTCAATGTGCTCCTAGAGGCAATTATTTTCAACTCTGTTATCTATTTCTTTGGAATTTTACCTCATACTTGCAAATAATTTGTGCTCCGTATGTTAATTTTTCTTTCTGGTACATCAGATGAGGATTTGGCTCTTACACATCCCCATTCTGCTCATTCTTCCCGTGTAGTCACAATTCACTTTTTGGCTAAGTCAATATTAAGTATTTACATTTGATACATATGAGTGTGTGCCATACTATGATTATGTTTACTTTCTCGTTCAATATTTTTTAGCTTAGAGTAATTGCACATTTTATTTTCTTAGGTTTCTATGTTTGTATTGCCAATCCCGCACCTACACTCCCAAATGCTCTGGTTCTGATTGCTCTGTAGCAAAGTTACCACAAATTTAGTGGCTTCAAACAACACCAATTTATTATAGTCTCACTGAGCTAAAATCAAGAGGTCAGCAGAGCTGCATTCCTTCCGGAGGCTCCAGGGAGGAATTTTGTTCCTTGCCTTTTCCAGCTTCTAGACGCTGCCCCAATTCCTTGGCTCCCGGACCTTTTCCTCAATCACTCCTACCTCTTCCTCCATTATCACATCTTCTCTGACTGATAATTCAAGTTAATCTCTCTATCTCAAGATCTTTCATTTAACCACAGCTGCTTTTGCCATGTAAGGTAACATAGTCACACTTTCCAGAGATTAGGACATGCGGTGTAGGGAAAGGGACAATATTCATCCTACCATGTGCTCCTACAGATCTACCAGCTGCCTGTCAATATTGTCAGGTAATCTACCAGTTCCAAGTCCTGCACCCTCTGGGACCTCTGATGAGTGAATTGGCTCCATCTTGTTCATACTCTGTCTTTGCAGGTACATAGGCTGTAGTGAGCTATGGTGAGAGCCCTAGTTATGATGCCAAACATGTAGGGACATCCCTTGTGCAATCTTCTCTCCTCTCCCATTTTCTTGCTCTTATGGAATTAAATCTCTTTTAATACTGTACTCTAATTTTAGTTGGATTCTGGAAAAGAAAGATAAGCCAGTGTAGTCAAGCCACCATGTTTATCTGATAGTTGTCTTTCATCAAGACTCTCATAATAGGGGTTTTGTTTTTATGGAGCCAGGGAAGGAGTTTCCACTCTGTAATTCAAAGAGGTGACCAGGAATGAGAAATGAGGAGATTCAGTTGCATTGTAGCTCAGGCAGCAGAACTAATTTTCCAGGAAGTTCTGTGCTGAACTTGCTGTGGGAATTTCTCTTCCCTTCAGTGAGAACTGGTGTGGCCTGCTGGAAAGGAAGGAGCTTGGGAGTCAAGGAGATTTTGTGTTTGTTTCCAGGTCTGCAACTTCCTGCCACTGTGACTTCTCTGAGTCTCAGTAGCCTCATCTGTAGTATCAGCATAACAATAATTGAGCGGTTGTACCTGGCTCACAGCAAGGACTCAGTTATGGCAAATTTTATTTTATTTTATTTTATTTTATTTTTGTTTTATTTTTATCTTATTTTTTGAGAGGAAATCTCACTCTCCACCCAGGCTGGAGTGCAGTGGCACAGTCTTGGCTCACTGCAACCTCTGCCTCCCAGGTTCAAGCAATCCTCCCACCTCAGCCTCCTGAGTAGCTGGGATTATAGGTGTGTACCACCATGCCCAGCTAATTTTTGTATTATTAGTAGAGATGGGGTTTCACCATGTTGGCCAGGCTGGTCTCAAACTCCTGACCTCAAGTGATGCATCCACCTCGGCCCCCCAAAGTGCTGGGATTACAGGCATAAGCCACCATGCCTGGCCAGTTATGGCAAAGTTTAAATTGCTTTCAAGTCAAGTCTACTGAGTAGAAAGGAATGAGCTGTTAACCTATAGCCAAGACCCTGCACCAGATCAACAGCTTCTGGAGTCTACCATTGTTCTTTGGGTCCTCCCTGGGTTCTTCCAAATTTGTCTGTATTTTTGCTTTGATTCTAAATGGTTTAACTTTCTGCTGTTGTTTTTCGATTTCAGCAAGAGCCTCCTGATCTAGCACCCAAGACTGCCGCTGACCTTTGGCCATGTACCCCAACCCTCTCATCTATTGCACCTGCTGGGACCCCTGGAACTTGGGACCACGGAAGCTAATCAAGACCCCTCAACTACCACACAAGAACTCCACAGGGAGGTCCAAGTAAGAATTATCTGGGATGGAGTAGGCACAGGGACCTTGGGATCCATTTGTAGCCTCATTTCTTTCACAAGATTTCTAAAACAGCAAGTGTGGCAGCAAAATCCCAGGTGGGCCAGAAAGCCTTGCTTTCTCCAGCTTCCCTGCCAGCTGGTTGGCTGCACCCTCATCTTGCCAGCCCTGCCAGGGCTTTGTACCATTTTAAATGAGGAAGTCTCAGTGTTGGTGCAAAGGCAAAGTGCAGCTTCCAACCAAAGGGCCTTGATGGCAGCTGCCCCCTCCATGTGGGATAAAGAGCTTTGGGAACTGGGGGACAAACTCTTCCTGGGACAGTGAACAACTGCCAGGGCCTTGGGCCTGAGTTTTAAAGGCCTCAGATTTTAAAGATTCCAGCTGTCAGATCATGCATTCCAATTTTGGGTCACTATAGGGATGTACTTAATCTGGGAGTGTAAAAAGGGTTTCCGAATTTCCAACTTTTTTGTTTTAATTATTGTTTTTCACTTTCAGGCTAACTCCTCTTCTACCAGCTCCAAAAAATCACAATTACCTCCAACCAACAAAACCTGTTGTTTCCCCGAAGTAAGTATTGTTTTGTTTTGTTTTCTGTTTTTGAGATGGAGTCTCACTCTGTTGCCCAGGATGGAGTGCAGTGGCGCAACCTCAGTGGCTCACTGCAACCTCCACTTCCCAGTCTCAAGAGATTCTCCTGCCTCAGTGTCTCGACTAGCTGGGACTACAGGTGTGCGAGTCACCATGCCCAGCTACTTTTTTGTATTTTAATAGAGACGGGGTTTCGCCACGCTGCCTAGGGTGGTCTTGAACTCCTGAACTCAAGCGATCCACCCTCATTGGCCTCCCAAAGTATTGGGACTACAGGTGTGAGCCACTGCTCCCAGCAGTTTGTTTGAGATGGAGTCTTGCTGTGTCACCCAGGCTGGACCACAGTGGTGCCATCTTGGCTTAATCCAACCTCTACCTCCCTGGTTCAAACGATTCTCCTGCCTTAGCCTCCTGAGTAGCTGGGATTACAGGCACCCATCACCATGCCCAGGTAATTTTTGTATTTGTGGTAACAACGGGGTTTCACTGTGTTGGCCAGGCTGGTCTTGAACTCCTGACCTTAAGTGATCAGCCCTCCCCGACCTTCAAATTGCTGGGATTACAGTCGTGAGCCACTGCTCCTGGCCTTAAGTATTTGTATGTCCGTGAGGCAGAAATGGTTTAAGGCATGTGAATAAAATAATCTCCCTCCCACCTGGCCTGACTTGAACTAATTGATGCCAGGGATGTTAGAGAATTGCCAGAATCCACCTTGATTTCTCACAAACCTCAGATCCTACATGTAGATTTTGGGGTCCTCTGCATCCACAGCTTCCAAAGTCATTGCATCATTTGATTCAAAGTCACTGTATCAACTGCTCTCCACAGGGGTGCCCTCAATAGCTCTTTTCTGCCCTTGAGCCCAAAGCTTGATGTGCCCTGTTGTCACAGAGCCTTGACCCTCCCATGCATTTAGGGTGGTGACCCTCTCTTTAGCTGATTACTTTCCTGTGTCTAAGATTTTCTGTGGGTTGCATCTTGGTTTTAATCACAAATTAAAATTTTTACTCACATTTTACAAGCTTAGAAATGTATCTCAGTTTTAGGTCTTTGTATGAATCTTTGTATTCCATTAATTTTTTTGGAAAATATTTATTGAACACCTATTATTTATTAGGCACTGTTTCAGGTGCTGGGAAAACAGCCAGAAAGACAATAAAGTCTCCACTCTTCTGGCACTTATCTTCTAGTGAGGGAGGGGAAGAGGACCATAAACTAGTTATTACATCTGAGGTTGGCAAGTGCTACACAGAAAAATAATGCAGGCAAAGTGGGAGGGGCTGTGAGGGTGGGGACACTTTATGTAGGGAGGTCGGGCGAGTCCCTGTGTAAAGGGGACAGAAGGAGCCTTGATGATGCCTGGGGCAAGCACTCTTGGCAGAGGGACCAGCAAGTCCAAAGGTCCTGGGGTGGGAACTTCCTTGGCATGTCTGACCTCTTCCAGGAAGGCAGTGGCCAGTGTGGCATGAGCGGAGCAAGTGAGCAGGGAGTGGTGGGAGATGAGCTCAAAGCAGATAACGAGGTGATGGGTGTGGTGGGCAGGACAGTGACCCCCTCCCAAGGACGTCTACACCCTAACACCCAGAGACTGCAAATATGTTGTTACTTGCCAAAGAAGAATTAAGGCTGCAGATGGAATTAAGGTTGCTAATCAGCTGACCTTGAGTTGGAGAGATTATCCTGGATTATCCCAGACCCCGTGTAATCACAAAGGTCCTTCTTTGTACGTGAAAGAGGAGGTCAGTGTCAGAGTCAGAGAAGGAGCTGTGACAACAGAAGCAGAGGTCAGAGCGATGCAGTTGCTGCTGGCTTTGGAGATGGAGGGAAAGGTCACTGTGAACATATACACATATATGGTATTCATTTTTTATATAGTATATATAAAGATTTGAATGAAAAACAAGTTTAACTTTAACGTTTGTATCTTAATGGGATTCATTTCATTATCTGGAACATTTGTTTATATAGAATGTTTCATTCTCCAATAAAGAGAGTTCCACACAGTTCCCTGAACTGAGTGTGTGTGTGCCCGTGTGTGTGTAAGCGGGTGGCGAGGGGTGTCACCTGACTCACAGAGCCTTGACTCAGGGAGAATATGTAAGGGTCCCTCTAGCTGGTTTATGCTCCTCCAAAACAGAAGTTGCCCCAACATCATAGGACAACTCTTTTGCCTCCTTGGGCAGGACCTTTTCATGAGCGCTCCCACTTTGGGGCCCTCAGGAGCCCGGCTTCAGTGAGTTCCCCAACTATCCTAGGGATCCCCTAAGAAGGTCAGGTCAGAGAGCAGAAGTCAGATGGTGGCGGCCTCAGGGTTCAGCTCCTAAGCTTTGAACTTCTCTTTGCTGTCTGGTTGCTTTCTGAGCATGTCTTTCTCTTGCAGAAAGAAAATCCATGCAGCAAGGCAAGAAGAGAGCAATAAATCATTTTATGTGAGTAAAGGCAGGAAGAGGGCGGTGGGACTAAAATTTATTGAGCGCCTACCATGTGCAAGCATGGGCCTTTTACATTTTTATACTTACCTTGTTGAATCTTCACAAAGATCCTGGGAGGAGGTGCTGTTATTATTGCATATTGTGCATGGCAGGTAAGTGGAAGAACCACGACTTGAACTCAGCTCAGCCAGATTCCAGAGTGGGCATTTAATTGCCACTCTCTCCTGCTTGCACAAGGCAAACAGAGTGTCCCAGGGAAACCGGACATGACAGCTAGTCCAGGCCAGTGAACAGCTCATGCCCAGATGCAGGAAGCCCTCTGCTGACCTTGGGAAGTCACGAATGCTGGGGAGAGGCAGCCGGGACCCCTCAGGGGAGCAGGGGCGGGAGGGCACTAGAGAAGGTGATGGGAACCAAACTCGAAGGATCTTGGTGCCTACCCGGGAATGTGGGCCTGACCCTTCTGGTGTCTGGGAGCCTTTACTGGTCTGACACAGGCACAGGACCAAGTAAGAGTTACATTTCAGAAGAAGCAGTCTCTGGTGGGATATAATTGATACATTTTACTGTATTCTGTGTTTATCTAGTTTTTTTTGTTTATTTGTTTGTTTTTAAATACCATGCAGTCCTTTAATGGTTAGGGAAAAAATGTACAAGCAAAAATATAATTGCCCTCTAGGTGGAGAGGATGAACTGTTGAGGAGCAAGAGTGAAGGCAGAGAAGCCAGAGTCCAAGAGAAAGATGGTGGTGGCCTGGGGCTGTCAGGCAGGGGTGTGGAGAGAGGAGGGTGATTCAGAGAGACATGAAGGGGTGACAACAGCAGGGCTCAAGGGGCTGCAGCGTGTGCTATGCAGCTCTCAGAGCCCCAGGGCTTGCCCTGGTCCAGGCCAGCGGAGGCCCTGCCCAGGTTTCTGACTTGGCATCTAATGGGAGAAGGAGGAGGAAATGACATTTTGTTTGCAACCATCCTAGTCATTTTCTCATATGTTGTTTTGTTTTTCCCTCACAAAAGCCATTTGAGGAGTTATTAACCCCACTTTCTGATGAGAAAACTGAGGCACAGAGATGCTGGATGGCTATTGTCTGGTGGCAGAGTCAAAATTTACTCAGGCCTCTTTGATTCCAAAACCTGAGCAGTTGCCGCATGCCCACCTCCGGCCACAAGGGTGAACACAAGTAGGGGGGCAGGGGCATCAATGGCTTGGTGTGGCACAGAGCTTGAGAGGCCCCTAGGTACACCCAGGAGCCACCTAAGCATCAGGTTTGAGTTTCAGAGATGTGAGGATGAGCTACAATGGGTGAAGGGCCCAGAAGGGCGTGGGCTCTGGAGTCCCAGGTCCCTGTTTTTAAGATGTGAGTGAGGCAATAGGAGAAGATTTGGAGAAATCTCAGCACTCCAAGTCTGCCATTTTATCCTACTTTCCCTTGATGCCTAGGAAGTGATCAACGTGTCACCTGGCTATCAACTTGTTCGGAATCGGGAACAGATTTCTGTCACCTTAGGGGATGAGATGTTTGATGGGAAAAAGCGGTGGGAATCGGAGATCCCAAACAAAGGCAGATTTTCCAGGTAATGCTGTTGAACCAACATTCAGCTGCTTGGGGCTACTCCCACCGGCTCAGCCTGGCCTCAGGGATAAGCCAAAGCCACTATGCCCACACCCAGGCCACTGGTGCCTGCTCTGGAGGGGTCACAAGGGCACCCCCCTCCTCACCCCTGCTTCCTGATGATGCATCTCTCCACATCTGCCTCTCTTTCCTCTGATCCCATCCGTGAGCAGATCCAAGGGGCAGGATGAAGATTGATTGGGAGTTATGTGATTGATCCCAAAGGACAGCAATTGTTCCTGGGGTGAGGAATAGATAGAAGAGCCATAAATTAGTCTGAATTTGGGGCATGCAAATTAAGTAAAGTGAGGGTTTCTGGGAGGCTGGAGTGCACATGGGTTTTTTTGTTTTTGTTTTTGTTTTTGTTTTTGTTTTTTGAGACAGAGTCTCTCTCTGTCACCCAGGCTGGAGTTTAGTGGCACGATCTGGGCTCACTGCAACCTCTGCCTCCCAGGTTTAAGCAATTCTCATGCCTTAGCCTCTCGAGTAGCTAGGATTACAGGCTTGCACTACCACACCCAGCTAATTTTTATAGTTTTAGTAGAGATGGGATTTCACCATGTTAGCCAGGCTGGTCTCTAACTCCTGACCTCAGGTAGTAATCCTCCAACCTCAGCCTCCCAAAGTGCTGGGATTATAGGCATGAGCCACCGTGCTCAGCCTCTTTTTCATTATGTCCAAAAATACTACTCAGCTCATGCCCCTGGGAGATGAAGCGTGGAAGGTTCCGGCCTGACTTCATCCTGTTAGCACAGCCATCCTGTCTGTCTTCAGGCCCCACCCACTCTCTGTCCTCCAATGCCATATCAAGTATATCTCCGTGTCTTTCTTTTTTCCTTAACAGATGCAGATTCATCTCTACATCTTTTCATTCTACCCTTTAATCTCTTATTCATATCTTCTGCTTCCCCGATATCCTGCGCATGTTCAGGCATCTTACTTCTTAACTGCACTACTGAATGGCTCTCCAAGTGCCTCTTCCCTCAGGCTTATTTTGCTGTAACAATTATTTTTTCAACACACAAGTCTAAAAGACCAACAATAGAAAACATACACACACACACACACACACACACACACACACACACAATCATCTACCTATCTGCTAGTGTATTGGCAGAATTCAACCAAACTGTTAGCAGTGGTTACATCTGGGAAGGGATTCAGATTGAGGGTGAGAATGAAGGACCCTCAAGTCGAATGATGCCATGCCATGGAGTCTCTCTGATCTGACCTGGCCCAGAGGGGCTGGACCCAAGTTCTTGTCTTCCCACCCAGGGGCACTCAGCCTCTGCTTTCTTTTCCCTGCTTATCCATAGCCCTCTGCAGGAAGAGAATGGGGCATGCGCCTATAGTCAAGCTAGCACGACAGCCCACCTCTTGGCCTCACAAGGAAGTTGTCACCCATTGTGCACAATAAAACACGATAACGTGTGCTTGTTGTATTCACTGGTAAAGCTGTGAGTGTTGTTTATAGTGAGGATCGTGTTCAAAAGATAGGGGCTCCCTATTATTCAACTTTCTAATGCCTTTTCTTTCTCATACCCTGGAACTGTCTCCTCCTGTATCCCCTCTCTTGTTTTGTCAGCCCACATTCTCTCTGTGCTCAGTTAGACATGGGAGGTGGTTGACCAAAGAGGTCAAAGCATCTTGCATTGAGGACTTCCTCTCAGCTCCACTGCACATGGCATCACCTGCTGCCTTGTCACTGTAGCCCAACCAGACAGAGTTAAATAATTTACAGATATCATGGCAGCCTTAGACCCAGAAACAGAGAAAACTATGACCTGTGCTGAAAGCCACTCTCTTAAATCCCCTCTTAGTCCCATCTCTGGCCCAGTCCTTGTCTGTGGTTCACAGTCAGCATCAATCCTATTGCACATCTTCTAATTTCCTAATCCCCTGAACTTCATCCTCTGTTTCAACCATCATCACCAAATCAAGGTCAAACTCTAATAAATTTCTGACATATTCTTATTTTCCTTCTACTCAGTAGGGCACCAAACCATCCTGTTCAAGTCTAGTGAGCTTACCCAAAAGAGTCAGATCTGAGCCTCAACTGCCTTATTGCCAAATGCCTTCTCTAAGACTGTCCCTATCCCTCCACCCCCACCTCATAATGATGGAGCAGGTGCAGGACATGGCCAGCTCTCACCAGGCCAGAGTCAGTCATGCTCAGGGGTCTGAGTGGCATGGAATGGTAAGCTTTGTGGGTGATAGAAGAATTACTTCTCCTACAGGACCAACATCATTTCTGACCTACAAGAGCAAATTTCAGAGCTGACAGCAATAATTGAACAAATGAACAGAGACCACCAGTCTGCCCAGAAATTGGTGAGTGACCTTACATTAGCTAACATCTTCATGGGCAAGATAAAATTAATGTTTCACCTGAAAGTGAGCAAATCCTGCCTGCTAGAATGGAATTATACTGTCAACAAGGATTAACACTAGATTTTAAGTTCCTTGAAGGCAAGATCTGAGTCTTAGTCCTCTTTGGCTCTTCCAAGCCAAGCCCTTTGTTCAATAAATGATTGCTCAATTGAATTACATATCAAAAAATCTGAAGGCCATGATGTAACAGAGATGATGGTCTAGCACCGGAGACCAGACCTACCCAAAAAAACCAGTCAGTGAAAGAGATGCACCAACATTATGAACTGAATAAGTAGAAAACAACATAGAGCAAGGCACAAATTGTTCTGTTCCCTTATTAATAATGTGCTCTCTGGCACTGCAGAGCACAGTGGAAGAGGGGTGGGAAGGGGGCCGTGCCCCATGAATTGGAAGGTTTTTCAGAAAGTGCAGATCAGAATGGGACGGGGTCCTCAGTCTTGTGTTGTTGATGCTGATTTTATTTCCAGCTCTCCAATGAAATGGACCTCCGCTGTGCTGAGATGAAACAGAACTTTGAAAACAAGAACAGGTACACTTTCTGGCATGGACCCGTGTGTGCTGATGGCTCTAAGGCTCCTGCATCCTTTGCAGGATTTTAGTTCACTGGGTCTTCAGATAGTTCCAAATGGAGTTTGGGGGATGACGGGTGGGGGAGATGAACAAGACATATGTCTTTGAAGAGCAGGATGGCTTGATTCAAAGCCACTAAAATAAACCACAAAGAAAGTTATTACTGCTTTTGCATTTTATCATCCAATCCTTTCATTTCAATTATAATCTCCCTTTTTGTTGGTTACTGAGAAGAGTCATTTTTGTTCTCTATGAGATTTCTGTGATAAATAACTGTTGTTCCCAGCCAAGTCTCCTCCTCCACCATCTCCTCGTTCTTCTCTTCCTCCTCCTCTTTTTCTTTTTCTCACCTCTACTCTCCCTGGCTGCTAGCTCAGGGACTCAGCAAAATAGGAAGAAAGTATGAGAGAGTCAGGAGCAAAGTCAAATCAAGAGAAAATTAAAAGGAGTCCAAATATAGAGAGATAGAGAATAGAACATGGTTACCATAGTCGGGCAGGAGGAAGAAAATAGGGAGATATTAATCAAATGATACAATGTTGCAAATATGTAGGGTGAAGAAGTCCAAAAATATAATGTAAAAAGATAAGAGCTATAGTTAATAATAATGTATGATATTAAGAATGTTGCTAAATGAGTTTATAGCTGTTCTCACCGCAGGGGGAAGATAGTTAACTAAGTGAGCTGATGAATACGTTAATTTGTTCCACTATAGTAACCTTTAACTATATGTACGTAGTAATCTCCATTATTGTAACCATTTGTGTATATATATACACACACACACATATATAAACTCTACATATATATATGCTTGTGTAGTGTGTGTATATATATATATAGTAAAAATTATGTGTAGTATATAGATACAGTAAGATGGTTACTATAGTAGAGATTCATATATATATGACATATATAGATGAATCTTATGACATCATGTTGTATACCTTAAATATACACAATACGATTTACTTTTTAAAAGAGTTTTATTATGTGTATGGGTGAAGATAATCTTAACATCCCCTTTCAGGCTACTTGCTGCACACCAGAGCAGCCTTAGAAATCCTGGTGGAGAGATAGCACTCTTAGTTGAGTCATAGCCATTTATACATTTATTTATCTATAGACTTTACCTGTTAGAGTAGTTTTAGGTTTACAGGAAAAATGAGGAGAAGGTACAGAGAGTTTCTGTGCACCCATTCCTAATCAAATTCAATCAAATTAAACTCAAAGATGAGTACACCAAGACACATAATAATCAAACTATCAAAAATCAAAGACAAAGCAAAAATTCTGAGAGCTTCAGAAGGTAAGAAACACATCACACACAAAGGAGTGCCAATACAATTGTAATTTTTGAACAGAAACCCTGCAGGCCAGGAGTCAGTGTGATGATGTATTAAAGTGCTGAAGGAAAAAACTGCCTACCAAGCAAAGATAGCAAAGCTGTCTTCCCCAGTTGAGGAAGAAATAGAAACTTTCCCAAACAAAAATTAAGGGAGTTCATTACCACTATGTCTGCCTTACAGAAATTGCAAAAGGAAGTTTTAAAAACTGAAACAGAAAGCTGCTGACTAATAACATGAAACATATGAAAGCACAACACTCAATAGTATAAGCAAAATAGAGTCATACTCAGAATATTTTAGGACTGTGATGATGGGATGTAAGACAATTTTATCCCAACATGAGGGTAAAAATACAAAACTGTTAATAACTATAGCTAAAATAAATTTTCAAGGATATACATTATAAAATGATATCAATTCTGATATCAAAAACAACATGTTAGGGAGGGAGTAAAACTGTTGAGTCATTGTATGCAATTAAACTTGTTATCAGCTTGAAATAGCTTATTACAGGAGCAAGATATTCAAACTAAGTGTCATGGTAACCACAAAGAAAAAAATCTTTAGCAGGATTCAAAGCATACACTACAAAAAATATCAAACCACAAAAGAAGAGAGCAAGAGAGGTAGAAAGAATCTACAAAACAACAAAACAAAAATTAACAAAATAGCAGTAGTAAGTCCTTACCTATTAATAATTACCTTGAATGTAAATGGATTAAATTCTCTGATTAAAAAAAATAGAATGGGTGAATGGAGTTTTTAAAAACAAGAACCAACTATATGTTGCCTACAAGAGACTCATGTCACCTGTAAGGCACATGAGCACCCCTCCCAGGGTCTGAGAGTAAGCCCACTAAACCTTCTGCTACCACCATTGCTGGCACCTACCTGCATGCACCACCTATGGGCCTGAGGACAGGACCACCCAACTTCTCATAGCCACCGCCAACACCAGTGAGTACCACTTGGGTCCCAGAGGGTTGTCTCACTATTGCTACTGCCATCAGCCACAACACACCCATTGCCAATGGGTCTGTGAACCTACCTACCTGCCCAGCCCATAGCTGCCATTCCTGACACCTGAAAAAGCCACTAAAGCCCGAGAATTGGCGTGCCTGAACCCACTAATACTTAATGCCAGCATATGCCACCCTGGGGCCCAAAGATAGGCACACTTATAAAACTAGAATAAAACTAGAAATCAATAACAAGAAAAACTTTGGAAACTATACAAATGCATGGAAATTAAACAGCATTCTCCTGAATGACCAATAGAACAATGAAGAAATTAAGATGGAAATAAAAAAATTTCTTGAAACAAAAAAAATTGAAATACAACATACCAAAGCCTGTGAGATACAGCAAAAGCAGTGCTAAGACAGAAGTTTATAGCAATAAACACCTACATCAAAAAAGTAGAAAGATTTCAAATAAATAGTCTAACGATGCACCTGAAGGAATTAAAAACCAAGCCCAAAATTAATAGAAGAAAAGAAGTAGTAAGATCAGACCAGAACTAAATGAAATAGAAACTACAAAAACAATACAAAGGGTCAGCAAAAAAAAATAAGTTCTTTAAAAAGATGAATGAAACTGATAAACCACTAACTAGACTAGCCAAAAAAAGACAAGAGAAGACCCAAATAAAATCAGAAATGAAAAAAGAGACACTACAGCTGATGCCACAGAAATACAAGAAATCATCAGAGACTATTATGAACAACTATAACACTAACAAACTAAAAAACCTAGCAAAAAGAGATAAATTCCTGAAAACCTAAAATATACCAAGATGAAGCAGGAAGAAATTGAAAATTATTCAAGACCAATAATGAGTAGCAAGGTTGAATCAGTAATAAAAACTCTCCCAACAAAGAAAAGCCCAGGACTAGATGGATTCACTGACAAATTCTACCAAACACACAAAGGAGAACTAATAGCAGTCCTCCTCAAACTATTCAAAAAAAAAATGAAGAGGAGGAAATTCTCCCTTACTTATTCTGTGAGGCCAACATTACCTTAATACCAAAGTCAGATGACAATACAACAACAGCCAAAAGAAAACTACGGATCAATATCTCTGATGAACACAGATGCAAAAATCTTCAATGAAATACTAGCAAATCAAATCCAACAAAATATCAAAAATATACCATGACCAAGTGGTACTTATAACAAAAATGCAAGGATAGTTCAGCATATGAAAATCAATAAACATGATATCAACATCAACAGAATGAAGGACAAAAATCATGTGATCATCCCAATAGATGCAGAAAAAGTGTTTCATAATAGTCAACATTGCTTCATGATTAAAAAAAAAAAAAAAAAAACAACCTTTCAACAAGCTAGACATAGAAGAAACATACCTCAACATAACAAAGGCTATATATGACAAATATGCAGCTATCATCATACTGAATAGGGAAAAGCTGAAAACTTTTCCTCTAAGAATTGGAACAAGATAAGGATGCCCACTTTTACTGCTCTTATTCAATATAGTACTGGAAGTCCTAGCCAGAGCAGTCCTGCAATAGAAAGAAAGAAAAGGCATCCAAATTGGAAAAGAGGAAACCAAATGATCTCTCTTTGCAGAAAAGCATGATCTTATATATGAAAATCACAAAAAACTCCATCAAAAAAACTCTTAGAACTAATAAACAAATTCAGTAAAGTTGCAGAATATAAAATCAACATACGAATATCAGTTGCATTTCTGTGCACCAACAATGGAATGGCCAAAAGAGAAATCAATCAGGCAATAACATTTACAGTGACTACAAAGCATAAAATAAAATATCTAGGAATAAATTTAACCAAAAAGGTGAAAGACCTTTAGAAGGAAGACTACAAAACACAGATATAAGAAACTGAAGAGGACACAAACAAATGGAAAGATATTTCATCCGTGCTCATGGACTGGAAGGATTAATATCACCAAAATGGCCATGCTGCCCAATGCAGTACAGACTCGATGCAATCCCTAAATCACCAATGTCACTTTTCACAGAAACAGAAAAAATAATTTTAAAGTTCATATGGAACAAAAAATGAGCCAGAATAGCCAAAGTAATCCCGTGGGGGAAAAAAAAATCTGGAGTTATCACATTACCTGACATCAAAATATATTACAAGACCAAGCATGGTGACTCACGCCTGTAATCCCAGCACTTTGGGAGGCCAAGGCGAGAGGATGGCTTGTGTCCAAGAGTTTCAGACTAACCTGCACAACATAGCAAGACACCATCTACACAAAATATTAAAAATTAGCCAGTTACTATGGAATGTGCCTGGAGTCCTAGCTACTTGGGAGGCTGAGGTGGGAGGATCACTTGAGCCCAGATGGTCAAGGCTGCAGTGAGCTATGATCATGCCACTGCACTCTTTGATATAGATCAAGGCTATCATAACTGAAATGGCATGGTATTAGTATAAAAATAGACACATAAACATAAAGCATGGAACAGAATAGAGAATCCAGAAATAAATTCATGTAATTACAGCCAACTAATCTTTGACAATGCTGTCAAGAACATACACTGGGAACAGGGCACCCTCTTCAATAAATGATACTGGGAAAACTGAATAACCATATGCAGAAGAGTGA